AAAAAAAAAAAAAAAAAAAAAAAAACTCTCAAAAAAAAATGATTCCTGTCTTTTTGTCACTTCCTCTTACATGAAACGCCTTTTTTAGCCCTTCACTTTTACTCTATGTATATTTTTGTCAATTGAGTGTATTTCTTTTAAATAACATATACAGGGTTCCTGTGTTTTATCCATTGATCTAATCTGTGTCTTTTGGTTGGGGAATTTAATCCATTTACATTAAATGTTATTATTGGTATGTATGGACTAGCCTTATCATTTAGTTACTCTTTTTTTTTTCTAATTATTTTTTGTCCTCTAGCTTCATTTATCTCCCTTTAGTTTTCCAAGTTTAATATTCTCTTTAGTATTTCTCAAAGAACTAGCTTACTTTTGGTGAATTCTTTCAGTTTTTGTTTATCTGGGAATGATTTTATTTCTCCTTTCCATTTGAAGGATAATCTTTCCAGGTGTTCTTTGCTGAAATTGTTTCTCTTTGAGAGTTTTAAATATGCCTTCCCATTTTTTTCCTTGCCTGCACTGTTTCAGTTGAGAGATCTGATGTTAATCTAATGGATAAACTTTGTAAATAACTTGGCATTTCTCTCTTGTCATTTTTAGAATATTGGCTATACTATGTCTCAGAAAGGATCTTTTTATGTTGAATCTATTTGCGTTCTTTGTATTTCCTGCATTTGGATCTCCATATGCCTTTCTAAATTTGAAAAGTTTTCAGGTAATATATCATGAAAGATATTTTCTAAGCTTCTAGCCATTCCTTTACCTTCTGGAATACCCATTATGCAAATATTTGGCTGTTTAATGGTGTCTAGGATTTCCTGTATGTTGTCCTCATTTTTAGTGGTTATTTCTACATTCTGCTTGGTTGCTTGAATCAAGTCAGGAGCTCTGTCTTTAAGGTCAGAGATACTTTCTTCTACATGGTCTAACCTGCTGTGACTACTTCCAAGGGAGTTTTTGATTTCCTGTATCATATTATTTTATCATCAGAAGTTCTGTTTGACTATGTTTTCAGGGTGTTTATCTCTTTATGGGTTTCCTCCTTAAAGTCATGAAAAGATTTTCTCATCTCCTGGAATTGATTATCTGCTTTCTCTTGCATATCACTGAATTTAGTTACCATAAGTATTCCAAATTATTTTTCTAACATTTCTATGATTTCTTGTGTTTTATCCATTGTTAGTGAAGCATTACTGTGTTCCTTTGGGGGGAGGTATTTCCTGTTTTTCTCATATTTCTTGAGGCTCTGCTGTGATTTTTAGGTATCTGGTGATAAATTCACTTCTTTCTACTTCTTCAGAGTAGGTTTCTGTGTCTGTGTGTGCTTCCCTTTGATGTAGGTTAGCTCTGTGCCAGTTTCCTTCTTTTACTGTGGGTGGGAGTGGTATCCACAGGGGAAGCTTGGGTTTCAGATTTACTGAGAGGAGTTTCTCTCCTTTTTCTGCTGGGGCGAGTTTGGGGAAATAATTTCTGCAGGGCCTCACTGTGTTCAGGTATTTGGCTCCTATGTACCCAAACGTCTCTGGTCTCTATGTGGCTGCGGGCTGAGCTAATCAGCTAGAATATAAGGTGGTATCCAATATAGTGTGCAGGCTGAGATAACCCTCCTCCCATACCCTAGGCTGGGCAAGGGGTTTTGGTGGTAAGGTGGAATCAGGTGGCCCTGCTTTCCCTCTGCTGCAGCATGGGTGGAGGGTAGAATAACATTAGCACTAGAATGGTGTACCCACCCCCCCACTTTCAAGAACTGGGGTGGTGGTCCTGAAGGCTGAAGCAGCCCTTTTCTCCCATACCCTAAGCTGTGTAGAGGGCTCATTTCCGTTTTCTGGACTTCATTTCAATTTTCTGTCCATGAAAGTTGTCTGTCCATGTGGTAGAGTTTAGTTTCCTGATTCCTGTACACTGGGCATCTGACTCAGCTCTCAGCTTCATGGACAGGTAGCATATGCAGTGTGGATACACTGAAAAAAAGGGATGATTTGTGTCTCAGACATTACAGAGTGAGAGGGAGTGGGATGGCATAAGACCTCATTAGGCTACTCAGAATGATGCACAATTAAAAAGTTATGAATTGTGTATTTCTGAAATTTTACGTTTAATCTTTTCAGACCACAGTTGATCACAGGTACCTGAAACTGTGGAGTAGAAAGAAATACAGCAGATAAGAGGGGATGTCTACTGAACTACATAATAACAAAGTCATGAAAACTGAAGTTGCCTAGAAACTAGGACTGATTTAATTATTCCTTTATCAGACTAATGACCCATATTCTGTCACAAATTGCATCCCAGAAGAGAAATAGTCAAGAGAAAAGATATGTGCTAATGTGTTAGAAGCTGAGCTACCTGCATAATTTATGGACAATATTTATGCATAAAGATGATTGACAAACTATGATTGCTCAAACTATGGGTACTTTGTAGACATATTATTTTAAATGAGGGGAGTAATCTTGTCAATTTGAGGAGGAAAAAAACTGATGTTATTTGAACTTTCAAAAAATTTTTAAACTTCTGTTTGCCACCAAGCACTTGAGAACTTACTAATACTCAATAACTTCTATGATGAAATTGATGGTGATGTTAACAAATGTTATTTTTGAATATTGTATAATAAAACCTGTAAACATTTGGAAAGGTCTACGTACACAGTGAATCAATATTTTCCAAATGACTAATGCATTAGTCATTTGGAAAATATTGATTCACTGTGTACGTAGACCTTTCCAAATGTTTACAGGTTTTATTATACAATATTCAAAAATAACATTTGTTAATATCACCATCAATTTCATCATAGAAGTTATTGAGTATTAGTAAGTTCTCAAGTGCTTGGTGGCAAACAGAAGTTTAAAAATTTTTTGAAAGTTCAAATAACATCAGTTTTTTTCCTCCTCAAATTGACAAGATTACTCCCCTCATTTAAAATAATATGTCTACAAAGTACCCATAGTTTGAGCAATCATAGTTTGTCAATCATCTTTATGCATAATTTCTATTAAACGAGATTGAAGAGATCTGCAAAAATATAAAACAATGTCATTCTCTTTAGATTTCTGTTTTGGAGAATATAGTTATTTTTAATTAAAATATATTTATTACAGTAACATGTGGTAGCTTTATTACTTTTTTAATGAATTAGGTATTCTAAATATTTTTTCTTATTAAATTTATAATAAGTTAAATATTTACTAATGCAAAACATACAATAAACAAAAGCTTTTTTGGATCCTCAATGTCTAAGAGTACAAATGAATCCTGATATTAAAACGTTTAAGGACCACTGTTTCAAGCACTTATTAATATCTTAGCTACTCATAGTGAGAAATTTACCTCATTTCTTTTAGGATTTGGAACATATGGCTGAAATGGTTCTATTTGGACTTCTGCCTGAATTGAATGAAATACTTCATCATTGTCTGATGATTCATCTTCTTTCTCCTTTGAACCAAAAATGCAAATAAATATTATAATTGTTACTAAAATTTAAATAATAAGAACAATTGGATTATTCTAATATCTTTCCTAAAAGAATAATTTCCAAATTTTAAAAATTATTTAAACCAACAGTTTCTATTAGTTTTTAGTTCTGGATCCCTTTCAGCACATGAGAAATGCTGTAGATTGTCCATAAAAAAGTGCATATAGAACATACTTGTATGTATTTTCAGGAGAATTTCTGACCTTTAAAAGCTCTTCTATGGGATCCAGGTTAGGAATCTCTGGTCTGAAGCTTGATTAACTCAAAACCCCAAACTAACTGTTATATTTATTGAACTATTATACCTCCAAAGTTTGGTCTTCCTGAGTAATGGAAGATCTGTAATTCAGCAGTGCAAATATCTATTCCTAATTGAGCTCTAGAAATTTAGGAAACTTTTCTCTTGTAAGTCAATCAATATTATCTCTTCAATTCAAAGGGCATATTTTTTTTTTTTCTGCAAGTGAGTTAAGGCACCCACACATGTCTCTAAAGTCTAATAACATTTTGGTATTTCAAAAGACCTACGCTTTGACTATAGTATCAATGATTTTCTTTTATTTTAGGACTATACATGCAGCTATAAATGACCTGCAAGAGTCTAGACTCATGGAATTGGTAACTATTATTTACTGATTTTTTTCTTTTATTTTAGAATGGCTCCCAACATATTTACTTAAAACAATGAATGACAAGAAGTTTGTGCCAGGTTTGTAGTACTATTAGTCTTTAGAAATGCAAACTATTAGATCTAATTGGTTACTAGAGCTTATTGAGAAAAGTCATTTGCATTTTATATGACCTAAATTCTGCCAAATATCACTATTCTTGACTCATACCTCACCTACTCCTTCTGCTTTCTTTCTCTCTATATTACACTCTTTTTTTTGGAGGGTGGGGGCTAGATAGCCATTTCCCTTTTGGGAATCTTTATTTCTTGCTTTTACTTTTTTTCATGCTAAAGGTGTTAGGGAATCAGCATTTGCTTAGTAGGATCCATAGGCACAAACCAAAAGAAGTCTTAGTCTAGATATTCAGATAAGGTTCATTTGTAATTACTACATCAATTACCATTAGGTAAATGGATGTGGATAACAGGGTTTAATTTAAGATCATCACAATTATTACTTTCATGTAAATGAGTGTGGAAATGTACTAGATAACAATTGCTTCCTTAATTATTTCTAGCTTTATTAGTTACTTATCAAGCCCACAAACTCTTCATTTTCAGATTAGATTTGCCAGATTGAATTCAACAACTCCAATCAAATTATATCCAATTATTAGAGGGCTTTTAAGAATGAAATTTTATTGATTGTTCCTAAATAAGATAGAGGTTACCATGTCATATTCCACATCTCAAAGTGTACTGACATCAATTTGTAACTCATTCTATGTTCCGTGATTAATTATGTAAAATGGGTGGCAAATTATTGAGATAAGTCTTAAATTTGGTAGCTATATACAAAATGTTTAAAAACTGCTTCTCATTCTCATTTTAATCTTGATTTAAATATTTAGAGTACAATAGTGAGTTTAATGTACTCAAATGGTACATTTCAGCATTATATGGGAAAAAAGAGGAAATAAACTAATTTAGAGACTAGAAGTTTGTGTTTATTTTAATGAGGTAGCTTTGAAAATTTAAAGAATAAGGGAAAATTTTAAAGATCCAAAACAGTAATTTTAAATGTACATGTAATATCCCTTTATTGGTTAAAGAAATAATGGGTAGAAAAATTGATAATTAAAGCAATGATTCTATAGAGAAACATTTAACAATCAACTGAATCATTCAAGCATTATTTTTATATGTAGTCACTTCTACCTAGAAATTTCAATATTAATTACTTGAAGCACAAATTATTTAGTAACTCTCCTTTGAGTTTTTCTTATTTTAGAATGACTTCCCACATATTTATTTAAAACGATGAATAACAAATATGTGCCAATGCTGGTAATACTATGAAAATGAGTAACACCCAAGGAATATTTATTTTATTTGGTTTTACAAAGGGAAGACATGAACTAGCACACTTTTTCCACACTTTTGACTCAGAGATATACCCAAAACTCTTACATTTTCAACTTCTCTCAATTCTTCCTCATGCTGATTAAAGATATCCTCCCATCTGCGTTGGCGCCTTCGCCTGTGGGCTTCTAAATCTGAGAGTTCAAGCTCTTCAGGTCTTTGTGATGACTTTGCCCTGAACCTTTTCGGTGACAGTCTTTTGGCTAGTGCCTGCTTTAGACTGGAAACTTTTGACTTTTTCTTCCTTACATGTTCTGGTTGAAAGTAAAACATATTTGATGACAAGTTTTCCATCAGGGTTTGCAGTGGACCCAGTGGCTTTGAGTTATGTGAGTTTGGTGCTCGGAGCAAGTCTCTTGATAGTCCCTCTATCAGTGCTTGAACTGAGCCAACTGTCTGTGAGGGCTCTAGTGCCCAGGCCTGTGCCTGAAATGACCCATCAGTTTGCCCTTCTACTGGTATGAGCACCTGAGTATCTAAATGTAGTGGCAATAGCACATGGTGGTTCTGTGACAATAGGGGCAGGAATACCTGGGCATGTACTCGTAATGACTCAGGTCCATCTGCCTCAGTTTCTGCCTGTGTGGGCTCAGCAGCCTGCTCCTGTACCTCTGGCTGTTCATGTGCCTGGTTCTGCTCCAGCTGGTGTTCAGGTACCTCGTTCTGCCTCGGTTGTTGTTCAGGGACCTGACCTTGCCTTGGTTGTTGATCAGGTACCTGATCTTGCCCCTGAAATTCCTCTGGCACCTGGTCCAGATCTTGTGGCTCTTTTGATGCCTGGGTCTGGACCTGAACTTGCTGCTCTTTAGGTACCTGGGCTTGTACTTGTAAAGGCCTAGGTGCCTTGCCCTGAGCCTGTAGTGGCATAAGCACTCGGGCTGCTCTCCTTAGTCTTGGTGGTGCCTTAATTTGCATCTGTAGAGGCCTAGATGCCTTAACCTTAACCTGAGGCTGTAGTGGCATGAACACCCGAGCTGCTCCTTGTAATCGCTGAGATGCCTGAGCCTGCCCCTGTAAAGACCTAGGTGCATTGTCCTGAGCCTGTAGTGGCATGAACACCCTGGCTGCTCCCTGTAGTTGCTGAAGTGCCTGGACCCGTGGCTCTTCTCGATCAGGTAACCACCTTGGCTGAGACGGTTCTCCATGCAGGACTCTAAGTGGTCTACATCTGCTGCTGGTGGGCAATCTCAAAAGCTCATGAGTGCAAGAGGGTCCTCTGAAATAAACATACAAATTAATGTCATGTAATTAGAGTATTCAGTGGAATGGAGCCTTTTAGGGGAATTGTTTTATTTTAAAAGAAGGACATTTTTGCAACAGAGATATTTTCAAATCTTTCTGGAATCATCTCTGCATTGTTTGAAATTCTAGCAGGTAACATTTGTATTAATAATGTATTCAATTAACAAAGGAGTCTGATCATCTACTTGATCATCAATCATCATAGATGCCATGCCAGGTACTAAGGAGTCTTTGAGTAACAGTAAAAGAAAAAAATTACTCCACATTTCCACTCAATATTTCTCAAATACAAGGATCTGTAATTTGTTTTATAAGAGAGGATTAACTTTTCTGACTCAATTGCCTCACATGAATTGCTATCAAATTATATATGCAATATGTCTAACTCACCTGAATCTTCTCATGGTATACTGTTCCTTAACGGCTTCTTCTCTTTCAAAGATCAGCGGTATCCCTTTTTATGAAAGATAAAAATGTATGCATAAATAGACAGCAGAAATTCATGTAATATAACTTTATCATTTTGAGCCCTCTAATGCTCAGGATATGGGCTGAATTCACAAGAAGTCCTCCAAACACACTTGGTTGTTGAAATAGACAATATTCTAGCCCTAGGCCCAGTTTTGCAGCACAGTATAGTTATTACATGCAATGTAATTTCTCTGGCATAGGAAAGAAAATGTAGCAACCTGATCATTGCAATTGTAAAGAGAAACTGGAGAGTTTGAAGCCAGAGAAACTAGATGGTCGGTGAGCCTGGCTTATGGCTGTAAGCTCTAGATAAAAGGACTTTTGACACAGAGTCGATCTTTGGTATTTCCAACAAAAAGGCAAAAATCTTAATTCTGGATTTTACACTTGACACATTGACAATGTTCAGCTTCTATCTTGTTAGCTGTGCTGTTACTACTGAATTATAGAAACTAACAAACAAAAGAGTTTTCTTTTGAATTTCCTATATTAAGATGTATAGGGAAATTATGCTTACATATTCAGTCTAACCTCTATATATATAAATGAAACTTTTCCTGTAGGTAACATTCTAAAAATCTTGAAACCCTGAAAATTAGCATATTGTCAAATAGATGTGTGGTTTTCCTGTACTCATTCAAGACTGGCAGTCCTCTTTAATGTTACTGGGTCCAATGGTTTCATCACCATAGGTAAGCAAATTACTTTTTGCTGCTCCTCACTTCAGAATAGGATACATATAGTTACGAAGATGGAATAGAGTTGCCAGTCAATCCTGCAGCTAATCTGAAGATGCTCTTTATCTTTCTGAGGGGCTTCTGAAAAAGTAACACTTCAGTGTTACTCTCAAAACTCTCTATGGTTCCTGAAATGAAATGTGGAATATACCACATAAGAAATTAAAACTTCACAAGTAATTTCCTCTACATTTCATGAAAATTCATCTTGTCATTTTGGGCATTAATAGAAACTTACTTTTATTCTTATGTATTTATTCCCTTATTTACATAATTTGGGCATTAATAGAAACTTACTTTTATTCGTATGTATTAATTCCCTTATTTACATAATGAGCTTCATATGGTGTAAATAAGATAGTAAGATATAGATTTTATTACCTTTTTATTTATTTTATTTCCCTACTCAGAAGCTTAAGTAAAATTGGCACATCACAGAATTAAATTTGAGGCTTTCAAGGTCTTTGTAAATATGAATATGTGTCAAATGTAACTGTTAATGATGAATCATATATATATATATATACATACATCTATATGTATACACATATATACACACATGTATACATACATACATGATCAGGCAGGTGGTAATGAATTGAATTAGAGCACATGGCATATTACTGGAAAAACTAATTATCAAATATGTCAGAATTTTTACTTTCATCCTATTTCTTTTCTTTTTTTTCTCTTTTTTTAATAATTATTTATTTAATTTTATTTATTCATTCATTTATTTTAATTTGACCAGAGAGAGATACACAGAGAGAGAGAGAGGGAAAGTGAGAAAGCAAGCCACCAGGTCCGGTACTCGAACCGTGCTCAGCCATATGGGAGTGTCCAGCATCTTAACCACCACGCCACCTGCTGGTCCCTCACCCTCTTTCCTAAATATTAATCTTCCTGAAAATAATAAATTAATAAATTCTGTTTTCATCTGAATATTCATTCCAGTAAAATGAAACTTCAAAGATTGTACCTTTTTTCTGCCGTTTTTTAATGACACCAGTAAGATGCTTTGTTAGTGACTCAATAACATGTGGTTCATTTTTTATATCCCGAACAAATGGGTGATGAAGCATGTTTGCAGAAGTAGGACTAAATAGGAAATTTTTTATCATGCACTTTTCCATGAAATTGTGGAACTTGCGGGACCTAAAAAATGAGTCAAAAGGATAAAAGAGTATTCACAGGTCTGCCTCACTTCTTCCCATCCCCACCCATATGCCACTCTGAAGGTGATATTTTTGGAGAGAATCGCCTCTAGCTATAATTACCTTTTCAACTGGCAAATATCATGCAGCTTGACAATATACCTTATACAGTGAGGCCATTTAAACCTCAGGAAAAGAAGCCAGACACAACAGCATTTTCTACCCAAATAGCAGTAAAACTTCAAAGAGTTCAGATAAACATACATGATGAAAAGTGAAGTAGTGATGTGACAATCTTATGGTTAGTACTATGTATATAGTCCATTAGACTAGATTGGTTAGCCCACAACAATCATACTCTGAAGCCTAAATGTTTCACTTGACAGTTTGCAGTTTTAGCCATAAAGGCATGGATGTAACGATGCAAGAATAGGATCTTAATAGCACCAGGACTGACTAATCTTATAAAATGGCCCAAGAAAGCATGTGTTCAAAAAGCTGGAATCCGTGGAAAAGGGTTAAGTTGAATCATAAGGGAAAATGTCAGCAATTAAATCAGTTACTACCTCTACCAGGGCAAGCAATACTAAAAATAAGAAAGAGTTGAAGGTACTAGATTAATAAGCTTCAGAGAGAAGGATACCCAAGTTTAGTTGGCCTGTAATAGCCTGAGAGACCAAGTATGCAATTACACATGCCTTCTTTAATGGGCCAACCAATAGGGCTGAATATCACAATCACTGACTGCCTATTTACACATAGTGAGAAACTACACAAATGGTTGACATTGGTCCAACTCATTACCAGAGAAACAAATGATTATATCCATTAATGCAAAGTGGTGCATCAATGGGCATATCTCTATAGTTGGCTTAATTAAAATTGGTCATTCAGACCTCTCAGTTAAGATATTGAATTTTAGGAAATATTGCCAAACAAGGATGGTGAGTCAGGACTGACCAAACGAATTAAAACTTCCCTTGCTACATGAAAGTGTCAAGTCAATGTATTTAGGAGATTAAGACATTCATCTTTACCATCCACTGGATTTGACTGTGGGAGCAGATTCCCGCAAAATAACGAAGAGAGCTTCCAAGGGCTGAAGGTTACACAGAGCTGCAAAGGGAAATAGATTAGTTTAGAAAGAATGAGAAGGGTGACTAAAGAGCACACTGTTCGTTCCAGAGAGGTTTCTTAGTGTTCTTTCATATATCATGTAGAATAGACACTAAGTGATGAATAGATACAAAAGAATGTAGTTAAAGAAAAAGCTCGTTTTAACACAAACATTGCATTATATAAGATTCTAAAGTTTCACCATCATGAGGTATGACAAATACATAATAAATGAAACTAGAAAATGTTTTTGAAATGTATGATTGAAGATGTAGATGTAGAAAGTTAACCAAAAATGGAGACAGGCTCTCTACTGTGCTTCCATATTGTAGGTATTTATTGTTGTAAAAATAGAATATGTAATTATAGACTGAAAAAGTCAAGGAGACTAGTAGGTAAGCACAATAATATATGAAGAAGAATTGTTTAGTAGTCTAGAAAGCTGAGAATAGTTTGTTTTAGAAACTGAGAGTCCTAGGAAAAGAGATTAAAATAGTGCAACTATTTTTTAAGGACATACCCACTAGAATAAGATCATCTAGGCTCAAATCCTAGCTCTGCTTTTGTATCCTTGGACAAGTGACTTAATCTATCTGTGCCTCTATTTGTTTATTTCAAAACCAGAAAAA